ATAAAATGGAATTTGTGTTTTATTTTACGGTTTTGTGGTGTAAAACTCAGTTTGATTGGAATCTTAGGTTTTTGTCATTATTCTTTGGTAGGTCTAACAATAGTGCAAAAGTATCTGGTAAAATTTTATCATCAGAATCATTGTCATTTTTCCATTGGTTTTTTATCAGACTTATGCGGTTGTTGATATTTTTCGTGAAAAAAAAATTCATTTTCCGAGAAATGATTTTGGTTATTTTTTATTCGTCCATTTTTTTTTCGAAACGTTTATTTGGGTAAGCTTTTAGAGTGATATTTTTGTGTGTTCTTTTTGTCATTCAAATTGATTGATTGGATTTTTGTACTTTTGGGTTGTTGTTGGTAATATGTATGATCAAGAGGTTGTGATTGTCTTGTTTGATCTGGGTTTGTTGTTAGATTATGGATTTCATTAATTGCAAAAAAATCATAATTATGGTTTGCAAAATGGTTTATTTTTTTGTTGAGCCTTTTAAAAGTTATTTAAGTTTATAGATAGGTGTGTTTGATAAAATATAGATGAGTATTCAACAGAGCGAGTTGGTTTAGGTTTCGGTTGTAATTTGATTTGTTGGAACGATGTATTTTTAGTATGTGCCGTTGTAATTGAAGGATGTATCGGTGGAATGCTTTGTTATGCTGTCACTGGCATTGTGGGAACGGTTTATTTGTTTGCAAAGTGTGATTTGTTCATTTAGCTGAATTTTGATGCTTAACCAGTCTTACCTGTCTAGATGGGAAATTTTGCGTTATAATTTGATGGTGTTGTATCTGTTGTTGATGGAATAAAATATAAAAAATCTTTGCTTACTTGGATTGCTTGGATTGCTGAGCTTGAAATATCACTTCGTATATCAATGAAAATTTCATGATACTAGGATTTTTGGAGATTTGCTTTTACGTTTGATGATGCTTCCGTTTCGGTGAGTTTTTCGCGATTTGCTCCTGCAACTCTGGAAAAAATTTTGACACCAACTCTCACTGCTGTATGTCATGATACTTGTAGTGGTGATACAAAGAATGTTTAGTCTTTATTCAGTTTGCACATTGTGAATTTTGGTGTTGTATTTTCTTGAATACAAAAATAAACAAATTTTTGAAAAATTAAATTATTTGTCATCTGTTTGTACTATATATGCTGTTTGATGGTTTTGCTTTGGTGACTGAAGTTCGATTGTAAAAACAACCCATACTGTGAAGAAACAATGCCTATTTCTGGCACAGAACGGTCAAATAGTTGTTGTTTTATTTTTACATTTTCTTTGCATGGGCTAATGCATTTTCGAAATAAATTTTTAATGAGTTTATGGCAAAATTATTTATCCGCGTTTTTTGGGGGTGTATGACAAAAGGTAAGATAGAGCTATCTTCAAAGTTATCCTCGTATTGAATCAAATTTTTTGGAGTGGTATTAGTGTTAGTTTGTAATTTTCAACACGCCTTCTGGGTTGATTCAAGCTATATGTTTGTACGGGTTGTAGTTAACTTTTGTTCATCGTTTACTTTTGATGGATGATGCTGTTTATTGCTTCGGAATCGGAAAACTGTCTATCTCCAGTTTCTTGTTTTGGTGTTTTTTTTTCTTGATTTTGGAGATTCTCAAGTTTACGTATTGTTTCTGCGTCACACTCTGAGATTGCTTTGGATTTCCTTGAAAAGCGATTTTTCAAGTTTTTTTTTGTAGACAAAAATTCTTTTTCGGATTTATTTTTTTTTGCTTTAATGTATCCTACTCTTCGTTGAAGCGGTTTTATCTTAAGGTCGTATCAGGAGCCTTTGATTAGACAATTGAGTGGGATTAGTATTTTGTTTGATTATTTGCTAAACTGGATGTTGACAAAAAAGTTGCACAATACATTTCACTTTTTTGGTAATCGATATGAGATATAGAGTTGGAGGTTTAAATTTCAATCGTCAAAGTTCAGGTATAATTAGAAAGCAAGTAGATCCTTAGATACTTTTTTTAGATAACAAGAACGCGAGTTGTTGAACGCTTGGGTCAATTAAGAGGTAGGATCAAAAGAAGGACGAGTAACTTAGTTTAAACGATGGAATTTCAAAGAAGAAATTGTCAGTTAGCCCCAACTTAGAAAATTTGGAAAACGAATCGACGTTTTAGGTCATTAGACACTGAAACAAGGTGAAAGCATTTAAAGTTGAAAATGAAATTGAATAGATCAAAAAAAAGTCTTGATGATACAAAGTTACGAAAAATGATTTCAAAAAAATGGAAAAAGAAGATTCAAACATAAGCTTTGATGATCTAAAATAAATTTAAGAATTCAAGGTTTAAGATTAAGGAGAAGCCTTAGTGATTTAATAATCAGAGATAAATTTCAGGATTCAAATCGTAAGAAATCCAAAAAAGTCCCGATGATCTTGATTTTGTTTAGGTTAGTATTTAAAGTGTTAGTTGTTATAAGTAAATGACCTGGAAGATTTCAAATTCTTTTAAGGGCAATAAAAGATGATGATATTCAAGA